AACAACTGTCTGTAACTGAGTTCCAGGGAATCTGATGCCCTCTTCTGACCTCCGTGGGCATTGCACAACACAGGTGCACCTTGCAAGTAATACACTCATACACATAAAATTTTATATATACATATATATATGGAGCTGGGTATGGTGGCTCATGCCTTTAATCCCAGAACTTGGGAGGCAGGAGGATCAGAAGTTGAAGGCCATCCTCGGCTAAACTGAGTTCCAGGGAATCTGATGCCCTCTTCTGACCTCCGTGGGCATTGCACAACACAGGTGCACCTTGCAAGTAATACACTCATACACATAAAATTTTATATATACATATATATATGGAGCTGGGTATGGTGGCTCATGCCTTTAATCCCAGAACTTGGGAGGCAGGAGGATCAGAAGTTGAAGGCCATCCTCGGCTATAGAAGGAGTTTGAGGCCAGCCTGAGTTACATGGTACCTATCTCAAAAATCTATACATATATGTAAAATATGCATACTGTACATGAAGTGTTAATTGAAAGTTTAATATATACATGTGTATAATCAAACCAATGTGATAGTTTGGCCTGGAGTGCAACATACCTAGTGGTAAACTGTCTAGAATGTACAAGGCCCTGGGTTCTCTCTCTAACACTGAAAAAGAAATTTAATTAAAGAAGAGGCTTTTTTAATAAAGAAGAGGGAGCAGGATCTCTAGGTCACAGACTGACAAACTTTTTCCATAAAGTTTGGGTCCAACTATCTCAGCCTTTGTGTCCACACAGTTTCTGTCACGGTTATACAGCTAGACCTTTGTATCATGAAAACAACCAGAGATGGTATAGAAATGAAATAATATAATTATATTCCAGCAAAAACCTATTTTCAAAAGCAGGTGGTGGGCCACTTTTGATTCATGAGGCCCAGTTTGTCTGTTCTACACTAGCAGAGACTAAACAGCAACCAAGTGCAACCTGAGACTCTAGATTGGATCCTGCCTTAAGCAGGGTGGCAAATAGCTATGAACAATATTTAAGGACAACTGGATAAATCTGGATACACCCTGAATGCCAATGATACTAACGAATGAACACTCACTAATTTTTTAAAAGGTGTACTTGGGGCTGGAGAGATGGTTCAGGGGTTAAAAGCACTGGCTGCTCTTGTAGAGGACCCAGGTTCAAATCCCAGCACCCACATGGTAGCTAACAACTGTCCACAACTCCATTTCCAGGGGATCTGACACCCTCTTCTGACCTCCACAGGCATTGCATGACAGAGGTGCACTTATATACATGCAGGCAATACACTCATACACATTAAAAAAAAAACATTTTTTAAAATAATAAATTTTTAAAACTCTGAAAAGGTGTACTTGAGGTATTGTGTAGACCAACATTCAGTCTGGTTTTTTCTTCAATTTTTGCTTCCTAGATAGCTTAGAGGCAAAAGGAAGCTTTTTGCTCTGAAATCGCCTCCAAACAAGGCAGAATTTATTGGCTACCCATTTGTGATCACTGTAGAGCAGGGATTCTCTACTATGTCCCATCCAGGGGACATTTGGCAATGTTTGGAGATATTTGCGGTTGTCACACCTAGGATGGGGTGCTACTGGCATCTAGTGGGTAGAGGTCAGGGATGCTGCTGAACATCCCACGATCAGCACACAGCCCTTGCAGTGAAGAGCTATTTGGCTGCGAACATCAGAAACTCTGATGCAGAGCCACTGAAGATGCTCTGGCATCGGCACCTCAACAGAAGACTTGGATCCAAACCCAGCCCTGCCACTTACATCCCAGTAACTCTGTGCAAGTGACATGAAATTTCTTGAGCCTTCCCTTTCCCAGTCTCAGTTGTAGAATGGGCACACACTCTGTCCCTCTCTGACTTACTTCACAGGGATGCTCAGGTTCCAGCACGAATAAATTCAGATAGAGCTGGGGAGACAGATCGTGGGACAGCACCTGCCTAGCATGCAGAAGGCCCTGGGCTTGACTCCCAGCACTGACAAATAAGTGTGGAGGTAAAGGCACTTTTGATATGGCCTATTGATATATACTGCATATTGATTCTGAGGACAGAGCAGTGTGGGTGGACTTGGTCATTTTTGTGATGACTAAGAGGCCAGAATTAATACTAGTACTTAAAGCAGAAAGGCAATTTAGGTTGCAGCCTAATCACCTGGAGTTTAGTAATACACAGATTGCTGAACTCCATCCCCAGGATATCTAAGTCAGTCTTGGGGTGGGACCCCATAATCTGGAGTTCTAACAAGTTTGCAGGTTATCTGATTACTGCTGATTTAGAAGAGCAAGATTAGGCTTGCAACCGCTCTCCCTTCTTTTATCAACAGGGGGCAGCAGAGAGTAACAAATGCATCACGGATTACCAAAGAAGCAGAGCCAAGTCCCTATCAAACCTTACCAAACCAAATTTCGGTCTAGCAAATAGCAAAAAAGAGGGTTGAAATAGTAAATTATGAATCTTGACATGTTCCAAGTGACTCTGGCAATAAGTCATTTAACTTCTTCTAAGTCAATGTCTGTAAAACAGAGAAAGTAACATAAGAGATAGTGGGACAGCTTGATTAATGTTGGCTGAGAGAGTTTTCAAAGAAAATTAAATGCGTAGGTAACAAATTATTCTGGGAATTTCTTATTCCTAGGGCCTTTTATAAATGTCTGCATTTTAAACACTTCTGATGCATTCATAAATATTGGTTTCCCTTGGTTGAATTGTCCATGATTTAACAGTTTGGAGGCCAATACTTTCAAAGTATTCATTATACCAGAATGTACATAATTCTAAACCCACATGACAGGCAAGGGAAGATAAGAAGATAGTCATCCAGAAGATGAAGGTGACCTCATTCTGGTGGAATCCTGGTGGAGGAATAGTCCTTGGAAGTTTTGTCAAAGAATGATTTCAAACCTGCCAGAATAGGTACCTTGAAAATTCTGAGGTCTGCTTCCAGAATCAGAACCTACAAAATGATTTTAATATATTTAATAGTCATTTATTAAACACTAATGTGCCCCAGGCTCTGGGATTAGGAGAGGACAAAGAGGTGACAAGAGGTCCAAGGCTGACTTCATGGAGCTTAGATTACAGACCTGTGCCACATGTCACTGTGTGTACTCTCACTAGTGACTCTGCTGACCTTGGCCCCGCCCCATTCTGGCCAGCCTGCATAAACAACTTTCTGTTTCTACTTGAATAGCCATATCCTTTATCCTTGAGATTCTAGAATAAAAATTGTTTTAGAGTTCTTTGGAACTCAGATGCCTTAATGGTATGTTAGTATTTAGACAATTTCCAATCTATCTATAACTTCCTTTCATGATGTCACCTTAGAATGTCTCTCAAACTCACAATGTAACTGCACTGTTAATTGCAACTGTACAGGTTTTTTTTTCTTTTTTTAAATGTTTTCATCGTTGTTCTTTTTTCAATATTTTATTTATTACTTTTATTTTATGTGTATGAGTGTATTGTCTGCATGTATATGAGTGCACCCGTGTCATGCAATGCCACAGAGGTCAGAAGAGAGCTTCAGAGTCCCCTGGAACTGGAGTTAAGGACGGTTTGTAGCCACCATGTGGATGCTGGGAATCAAACCCAGGCCTACTGTACAGGTTTTAACAACACAAATACCAAAACTTGAGCAGACTGAGTCTTTACTTTGAAGGTACTTATGAAAATAAATTCCTCTTGCATGAAAAGATGAGCTGTTAATAAGCATGTGGCAGAAGGATTTTGTAGCTGTGGAGGTGATTTTAAAATCTGGCTTGGGATTAAGTGAGTATAGGAAGGTATGTAGGACTCAAATGGAGAGGCCTGCACCAGCCTGAGAAGCCAGTCATTTCTCCACTCTGCCCTAAAGCCTCCTCATCTGTCAAATGGAGGTGAGGAGGAGGTGGAGGGAATCACACCAGGCCACTCAGGTCTCAGGGTTCCAGTCAGTGCTGTGCAAAATGAGAAGGACAGTGTTACCCAGTTTCCCTATGAAGACAGTAGGAAAATGTTCTAGATCAGGGTTGGCAAACTACAGCTTCCCTTCCAAAAGCTACCCTTCCACCAAAAGTTAAGTACTGTATATATATATATATATATATATTAAGGTATTTTAGAGGCTGGAGAGATGGCTTAGTAGTTAAGAGCACTGACTGTGAGGATCAGGTTTGCTTCCCAGGATCATATGACAGCTAACAACCATCCATAACTCTAGTTCCAGGAGATCTGATTCCGTCTTCTGGCCTCCACAGGCATTACATGCACTTACATGCATGCAGGCAAACCATTCATACATGTAAAATAAAAATAAAATTAAAAGAAAAGATTTAAATTTTTATTTTATTATTTTTAATTATGTGTCTATTGTGGCTCTGTACACAAAGGCATAGGATCCCCCTGAAGCTGGAGTTATATGCTGTTGTGAGCCACCTGGTGCTGGGAACTGAACTTGGGTCCTCTGCAAGAGCTTTATGAGCACTTAACAGCTGAGCCATCTCTCCAGCCTCCAGTTTTTATATTTTTAAATAGGGAAAAATGAAGAGTAGGGGTGGGGGTGGTGCTCAGTGGCAGAGTGCTTGCTTTGCATGAGTGAAGACTTGGGCTCCATCCCAGGACTGAAAGAAGAGGAGAGGGGAAGGAAGCAGTGCTGTTTTCTGATGATACTTGAAAGTTACATGAAATGC